CCCCCCCCCCTGTTTTTAGCGTTTCCAATTCCGTCGATCCGTAAGAAGGCTTCTCTATTCTCGAGTGAGATTTTCCGAGTTGGATCTGGGAATTGAAAATTTCGATTTTTCAACTGGAATTTTTCAAACCGTAAGAAACCGCCTTAGACTGTTATAGTCTAGCCGGTTAAATTTTCCACGATTCCTGGAATCACTCCGGAATTTATTCTGAGTGACTGACGTACCCCCTATCAACATACCTTATATCGTAAAGCTCTGTTTCAGGCGGATCGGTTGATCGGAGCAGAGTTTCTTCTTATTTTTTGTTGGCGAGAAACTCGCGATTCCGTCGACATTTTGCCAGATTTTGTTACGTTTAATTTGCTCGAGTGTGAGGTCCATTTTGTTTTGAAGACCGGTTTTGAGCGTATCACGTCGAGGGGTACGCGGCGACCCAACTCAACTTTCGATTTTTTTTTTTGAAGGAGATATGGCCGGTCAAAGTTTGGTGTGCCCACACACCACACACATCACACGACACACCATACAGCACATCACACAGCAGTCCCATAGACCCCACCGAGGGCCCATTCAGGCCTATACTTGAACATGCCTGGGCGCGGGCGTCCTCCCGGTCCCAAAAAAGAGGCTGGCAGCTTCCAAAGACGAGCAGCTGGCCGGTTCGGCGGGAAAAAAGCGGACCCTCCCCCACCACTCGCTGCGGACACTCCACCACAACGTGACAAGGACACATGCATACATGTTATGAAGGAGACGAAGAGGACCACAGCAGCAGCAACAGCAGCCGGCACAGCAGCGACAGTGATCATGACAGCTGCAGCTCGGGCAGCTCGGGCCGCGTCAAGTACGACGGCAAGAGCAAACGGCAGCAGCGGCGCCGCCGAGAAATGCGGCGAAATGCAGAAGAGAAGCGGGTTGTGCGCACACTTCTTGAGATGTGGGCATCAGCTCCGTCCTGCAGCACTCCAGACCCCCGCTTCTACAGAGGACAACAGCAAGGCGGGAGAGGTCGAGGATGGGACGGTTGTCTTCGAGATTGAGGGAGGTGGCGACGACGGAGTCGAGGTCTGCAATTGGTTTGGAGCAATGACATGCAAGGGGTTGATGTGTCCTTCGAAGCACACATCAACCCCTTGCATGTCATCTTCTCCAAATCAATTGCAGACCTCGACTCCGTCGTCTCCACCTCCGTCAATCTTGAAGACAACCGTCCCATCCTCAACCTCTCCCGCGTTGCTGTTGTCCTGTGTAGAAGCGGGAGCTGGAGTGCTGCAGGGCGGAGCTGATGTCCACATCTCAAGAAGTGTGTGCACACCCCGCTTCTCTTCTGCATTTCGCCGCATCTATGCCGACAGCCACGGGCTTGAGGGCTACTTGCAAGCACGGGACCTCAAGGAGGTGACGAGCCACCGCTCGCCCACCGACACGGCCGACAACGTATTGCTGGCTCGTGGCCAAGCGACAAACCTGGAGGAGCGTAAGGCAAAGGAGCAGGCCCCCCTTGCCGCGGCCAAGGAGGCCAGGAAAAAGTCTAACGAGGCTGCCGATAAGATGTTGAAGAGGTACAACAGCAAGGCGGGAGAGGTCGAGGATGGGACGGTTGTCTTCGAGATTGAGGGAGGTGGCGACGACGGAGTCGAGGTCTGCAATTGGTTTGGAGCAATGACATGCAAGGGGTTGATGTGTCCTTCGAAGCACACATCAACCCCTTGCATGTCATCTTCTCCAAATCAATTGCAGACCTCGACTCCGTCGTCTCCACCTCCGTCAATCTTGAAGACAACCGTCCCATCCTCAACCTCTCCCGCGTTGCTGTTGTCCTGTGTAGAAGCGGGAGCTGGAGTGCTGCAGGGCGGAGCTGATGTCCACATCTCAAGAAGTGTGTGCACACCCCGCTTCTCTTCTGCATTTCGCCGCATCTATGCCGACAGCCACGGGCTTGAGGGCTACTTGCAAGCACGGGACCTCAAGGAGGTGACGAGCCACCGCTCGCCCACCGACACGGCCGACAACGTATTGCTGGCTCGTGGCCAAGCGACAAACCTGGAGGAGCGTAAGGCAAAGGAGCAGGCCCGCCTTGCCGCGGCCAAGGAGGCCAGGAAAAAGTCTAACGAGGCTGCCGATAAGATGTTGAAGAGGTTCACAGCGGCAAAACTCGCAGCCACCTGACTTGAGCGGCAGCGCCATCCGCAGCGATAGTGTATGTACATATTCCCAAGGCTAGGTTCTAAGAATATATTTGCATCGTAGATTTGATAGCGAGACTAGAGCGAGGCGGGGGGGGTCGGAGGTGATTTTGGAGAAAATGTTGTTCGTGGCGTTGTCGAGCTGGTTTGGGGGGCGAGGGTGCTGACAGGGAGAGGAAAACGAACTCGGATAATGAACATAAGAGTCAACCTCTCATTCGTATACGACCTGCTATGCGTTGGAACGCGTTGCGGGACAATGTTTCGGGGTAATAACGTGCCGTTTCGGGGCAAGAAGTGTCGGTTCGGGGTAATTTTGGGGGTAATTTTCGCCCCAAAACGGCCATTTTCACCGACTTTTTTTGACACCGGATTTCGATGCTTCTCGACCTTGCGGTTCTCCACTTTTTTTCGCGTGTCAACTCTCAAAATCCAGCGAGATAGGTGGGGGTCACCTTGTGGGAAAATTTAACAGGACAGACTCTACTGCTTGTAAGATAGAAGTCTCTGCAGCAAGAGACATCACCACACAGAGACACAGAGGGGGTCCCTGTTTAGTGCCAGTTGAAGAGTGCCAATGCCCGGTATTGTGCCCGTGTTTTCGGCGGGCACACACTGAATTTCCAAGTCATCGTCAGTACTTTGAATGGTGCCAGTGAATTTTTTTGCACCCAGGGATGGAACTGTATGCACCATCCAATCAGTAGGCGTCGTTCGCTCTTTTTCTTACATTTCAGAGATTTCGCGAGAACGCCGAATTTCCTGTGCGTGGTGAGGGGGTTGCAAGAAAAATAAAATTGAGAACAACGGCTCAAATCTCCACGAAGAGTAAGAAAATAGTGTCCAGAAACATAGCTCAATTTGGGCCACAATATAAGAAACGTCTCATTAAGAATCAGTAGCACCGCTTCCCTACTACTTCCTCTGTCACATAAGTAAAGTTCGTTATGATTACCCTGTCATTTGGCCGTGTCCGATGTCTTAGGCGATACTTTTTTTGAAATCTTGAGCGTTTTTCGGGTTCCCCTTTCCATGAGGGTGGGGGTGGGGGCACGAAACGAAACATACCAAAAAAAGACAAGAATTATCCCGAACCCTAAACCCAAGGTTACCTCTACTGAACGATCCATTTCGCGTCCTCCCATACAAAAACCAACATAGTAGTGAACCCACACTAAAATCAAGACATTTTCGAGGCCCACACTAAAACCAAGACACTTGGGGGCGCCACACTATAATCAAGTTACTTGCGGGGCAAAGCCGACAGGCGTAGGGTCCTAACCCTACCCCCCCCTTGTACTCAACGACCCATATCGCGTCCGCCCAATGTTTTCTGGGGTAATCACTACCAACGCCGTACCGCTCGGCGAGGGGGCCTAGAAAGCCCGTGGGTACCCTTTCTTTGCCCGGCAGAATCGCCAACGCTATCTCCACCGCCATGGCGTACCGACGACCCAACGATACTTCCGCACCCCGCTTACGACGTGGGGGTGTCTGGGCGTCGTCCCCCATGATAGCTACGTCGTTGTGGTGGTAGTGGGTGCTCACACAGCACAAAGCTGCAAATATTCTTTGAAATATTCTCAAAATGTTTTCAAAATATTCCCAAAATATTCGCAAAATAGTCCCGTATTTGACACACTAATTCTCAGTAATTGTAAGTCGGATTTTTTTTTTTTAAAGTTATATGCGTAACAAGCGCTTTCCAACAAACCTAACTAGAGCTTCAGGAACACCTTGGCTGGTGAGGTATGTAAATTCCGCCATAACGGACTTTACTTATGTGACCGAGGAAGTATTATACATTAGAAACGAGGGTTAACGGGGAGGTGTTTCGCGTAAGAAACACCCCACATAGCTCCTAGCTCTCTCTCTCTCCCCGTCTCGCATGTGTTAACAACCCGCCCCCCTCGCGGTGGCAAGTGCATATTTGTTGTACGGCGAGGCTTTTTTTTTTTTTTTGCGGCGCCCCCCCCACCCACCAAGAAAGGAACGATTGGCCATTGNCTGTTGGAAGTCGTAGAGGCAGTCCGGAAGGGAGTAAAAGTAGGGGACACGGAAACGTCGGTTTCAGGAATGCTGTTTGCGGATGATTTTGTCGGTATGTCGGACACCCCTGAGGGACTGCAACTGCAAATTCACGCGGCGAAGAAGTTTACTGAGTAGTGGAGATTATCTGCCAACGCGAAGAAGAGTACCGTCATGGTATGCAACGAGGACAGGGAGGAACCGGTAGAACATATATGGAAGTGGGGGATCGAGAATATTGCAGTAGTGGACCAGTACACATACCTTGGAGTAGAGATCGCAAAAGACTGCTCGTGGAATGCACAATGTCCAAGGTAGCCGGAAAAGGGCAAAGCA